AGGGCCCCACGGAATCGGAAAGAGCCAAAGGGCTAGAGGCCTGGCCACTTCCAGCCAGCCAGCCCCGGGTTAGGCCAGAATTTTTTTAAATGTGTCAGATTTCCTGTCGGTTATAACCGACAAGATTTCTTAAAATTCAAATGCCACGACTAGGTGCCTAGCCGTTGCATTTGAATTTTTTTTTTTACAGTTTTATTATTATTTTTTATTTACAAAATTTTTCATATAACTTCTATTTTTTCCTATAACTTTTATTTTACAAAATTTGTTTCATATTTTTTTTAAATTCCATTTTTTCCTATAACTTCTATTTCACAAAATTTGTTTCATTTTATTTTAAATTCTTTTTTTTCCTATAACTTCTATTTCACAAAATTTGTTTCATTTTATTTTAAATTCTTTTTTTTTTTCCTATAACTTCTATTTCACAAAATTTGTTTCATTTTTTTTTAAATTATATTTTTTTTCCTATAACTTCATAAGCCATTATACAACATTAAATTAAATTAAGTAACATGAAACAACATTAAACAATATGAAACAACCTTAAACAATGTGAAACAACATTAAATAACATTAACCAACATACAAATTATACAACATTAAAAAACATTTAACAACATTTTTAAAAACATTTAACAACATAAAACTTAAACGCCTACTCCATGCTTCTTTTGGCCCAAAGATGTGCAACAAGATCATGTTGTAGGTACTTATTTGTGGCACAAAAACGTATCATTCTATAGCGCATTATGTACTCATTTATAGAGATACTACCAGTTCTTGGAATGAAAGGCAAATTAGGCCCATCATATATTTTTGCACGAGCCATTCTTGACCTATTTAAATCTTCTTGGTTGTCATCAGATTCTTCATCAATATACCCATCTCGCTCATCCTCCACTATCATATTGTGTAATATGATGCAAGACATCATGATGGAGTCCAAATTTTCTCGACTCCACCATCTTGCCGGTTCGCTGATGATCTTCTACCGTACTTGTAAAATACCAAAAGCCCTTTCAACATCTTTCCGGTATGCCTCTTGGTGTAAGGTAAACAACTTTTCTGCGTCATTCCTAGGGTTTGGAATTGCTTGGACAAGTGTAGATGTCATCTGCCAAGCAATACCCCATATTATATTGACGGTCGTTGATGTAGTAGTCAAGTTGAGGTGCTTTACCTTCCGTCAAGTTATTGAAAAGGGGTGAACGCCCAAGAACTGTAATGTCATTTTGGGATCCAGGGACTCCAAAGAAAGCATGTCAGATCCATGTGTCATATGAGATAACTGCCTTTTAACACAACAGTTGGCTTTCTCGATCTTCCGCTAAAGCCTCTTTGCCATCTAATGAGACAGTTCTTTCAATCTCAATGCATGCAATCTAATCACCCTATCATATTCGGAAACCCACAATTTTCAGCTTTGTTAAGGAGCCGATTCAGATCTTCTTGATTTGGCTCGCGGAGGTACTCGTCTTTGTAAACCTAAACAATTGTGTCACAAAATTGTTCAAGAGTATCAAGGCATGTAGACTCAGACATACCATATGTTTCATCCATCGAATCAACTAGGGAGCCATAGGCCATCATTTGGAATGCAATAGTAACCTTCTGATGAGGTGAGAAACCAAGGCGCCCTGCTCTGTCCTGCTTTTGTCTAAAGTATGAATTGACCTACTGGACATTACGAAGTAAACGCTCGAAGACATGACGCCTCATCCGGAAGCAACGTCTGAAATCCTCTTATGTGTACACCAAGTTGGGGTTGAAGTAGTTGTTCATCAGATCGACATGCGTCATCACTCTGTTTCGTGGTTTGTAAGAGCGACCAGCAATAGAGCCACCCCATTGAGGTTGTTCCTCAGTTGGCTAACACATTATGGCCGCAACTATGGTTGCTGCTCTGTTTTGTTTGTTGCGCCTTACTTGAACTTCTTCTTCAGACTCCTCATCTTCTCGTCTCATTTGCGCCCATTTTGCTTCTCTTTTGGAATTGGATGAGGACCCCCAGTTGGAATGTGAAGAGGATCCAAAGTTGGAATTCATTGCAAACTTGAATTGAAATAGATTGAATTCAAAGTTGTGTGAATTATATCTCAATATCCACCCTATTTATAGCAAAAAAAAAATTCAAATCCAACAGTCGTCATGCTGACATCACTTAGTCGTTGGATTTGAATTTAAGTTGTAGTTTTTAAATAATAAATTATGTTTGGCCTTATGGCCCTCTGGCCCTCCGTTGGAGACGGTTTTTTGTGACAGGGCTAAAACGAGCCATCTGACCCTTTGGCCTTCGGTTAGAGATGAAGGCAAATATGACTATATACTGTTCATTAAAATATTAATATCTTGGAGGATCTTGGATGGCCAGAGGGTTAAAACGAGCCCTCTGGCCAGCCATCGGTTGGAGATAGCCTAATAGTTACCAGGGCTTTTTGAAACCCTCGTGCTATCGTTGCTGCATCGGTTTCTGCTCTCCTCCCAAACTCCGTCGTAATCTCTTGTTGGGGCGATCCGAGAGCTGCAATCATGTTGGTCTACCAAGATCTCCTTACTGGTAAAAAATTTCTCCCAATGTTCCGCATATGCTTAAATTAGGGTTTCATTTTCTTTTTTCAGTTCCAAAATTAAGGTTTTGATTTGTCGGTACTGATCTTATGAAAAAAAAAAACGAAATTGGATCTCTGTTTAATCTCCAAATTTTAGGTTATGGTACGGATCTGGTGCCAAATTTTTGTTTTCCCGCCCGTGTGTATTGTTTCACAAATTATTCGATCTATTGTTGCTCTAATTGTTTTGATTTATTTGGTGGTGATTGTGTGCATCTATTTTGTGTAATTTGTTTATGGGTGCTTTTGCTTGTTGTTTATAATTTATGAAGCTACTGGATTTCATCTGAATGATTAAGAAAAGATTGAATTTATATTGCTCCGCGATTTATCGTTTTCTAACTCTTTTCTGTATTTATTTTATGTAATTTGGTACTGGGTACTTTTTCATATTAAATTATAGTGTGAAGTGTGTGAAGCTTTTGAATTTTATGTTACAAATTTAAAATTTTGATATGTTGGTGGCATAGTCCGTGTAATTTGTAAATATTCAGGTTGAAAATATCATTGGATATTTGATGCAATTTTTGAACTTAATTGTGTAAATTACTTGAACAGTTGTACATAGTAAAGTTTATAGATTTGTTTATTGATGAGTATATTTTATATTATATATTTTACCCAATCTTAGTATATTTTAGTTAATATTTTGGAAGAATTTTGATGCTTTGAATTGTATTTTCAATATAGGACTTTCGAATTCTTCTAGAGCAAAACAGGACCAAATGGACGAATTTTGGAGTAATTCCAGTTGGAGGACGTTCGTGAATCACTTAGCTTGATCGTATCAAAATCTTTGATTTTTCCACCAAGCGGTTATTTTCTGACGATAAAATAGAGGAGCGATGCGCAGTGCTGAAAAATGACGTTTTTGGGCTTAAATTGCGTTTTTTGAGCCCAAAATAACCTCGGATTGGTTCGTGGCCTTCTGGATAAGTGTTCAGAATATTCCAAACATTAAATCCAGCTATATTGGGCCGGTTTTGGAGCAGCTTATGGGTCCAAAACATGACTGTTCAGATTTTAGACGAATTTTACCATTTAATTTAGGGTTATATTTCCTATTTTATTTGATTAGTATTTTTAGTTTCCTAGTGGGAATAAAGGACCGGTTTTTAGGGTTTGTGTGGGGGCTTAGCAGATATATTGCTTGGCCGTCTACAATATTTCTCGAGGCTTTATTTTATGCAATTTTGGAGACAGAGAGAATTGCTAGGGTTTTGGAGATTTTCTACTTGAAGGTGCTTTCAACCCTTTTCTTAAATATATTTTCTATGATTTTAATTATGAATATGCGTAACTAATTCCTTTTGCTAGGGCGAAGCCCTGAGCCTTATCATGAATATGTGATTTTTATTTAATTGCTTATGATTGATTGCATGCATACTTTGAATTATTAATCACCAGAATAAAAATTATCTAACTGTCTTAATGCCTGATCACCATTAGGACCTTTAGAAAAGTAATTTGATGCAAGTTTTGGTCGGAAGGTTCCCTGAAATTGACGATGGCTTCTTGTGATTAATAATTGTAATTTCACTTAGAATGAACACCACGTCTTAAGGATTGCATGATTTTTCAAAAGATTTTCATAAAGCATAATGAGTCTTTCATGTTCAGATTTGATCCGAACGTCCGGATGGGTTGCATGTTAGATATACGTTCTATGTTGGAGGTTCCAAGTAGAATATAAATTAGGAAAATTTGACCTTCAAAGTGGCATGTGTAGATCATAAGTAATTGGTAAAAGTGCATAGGATTGCTAGGTGACGGTGGAACCCTAGTGCTTTCTTAATTTGATTCTTCCAAAACTGTTTTCTTTTTCCCCCTGTTCTAATATTACAGATTGTTTATTTTAATTAATTAATTTCGTTTTTATTTTAAGTAGGTTATAAAATCAATCACTTCAATTTCTACTTTGCAATAATTAATTGAAATTTGATTTGTTTTGAATTATTTAATAATCCATGTGGAGAATGACCTTGCGAGATCCGTTTATACTACAACAACCTTGTGATTCTTGCAAGTATTATAGGAGTTTTTATCGTATTCACATGAGTAGTAAAATCCCTATCATTTATGATGTTCTGCTGGATCTGCTTTTTTTTTTGTTATATGATGTTTTTGTTTTCTTCAACTTATATATTTAGTTGAATTTCCCTTATCAAGTTGGTGACCAGATTCATGCTTTTATTATAGGTGATGAGCTTCTCTCGTACTTGTTTCCATACAAGGAAATCCACAATGGAGTGCTTTGGGAAGTTGACGGAAAGGTGAGTTGGTCAATTCTTTGGTTTTTTTTTTTTTTTGGTCCCCCACTTGTTGAGCTGTCTTTATGGTTTTATTATAAGGTTAACCACTCGTTAGAGAGATTTACCTGTGTTCGCAATGTAATATGAAAGTATAATATATAGTAGGGTTTTGTGTTGCCTGGTCGGTATTAATCTTTTTCCCTGCAGGGTGTAGTCAAGGTGGTGGTTATTGATCGTTGCGGTTGTGGGTTTATTCTGATCTGGATCACTTGTAAAAGGTTAATATGTTGATTGTTATGAATTGCATAGTTGATTGACTAAGTTGTTTGAATTATTTTTTGTTTGCAGTGGGTTGTTCAATGAGCTGTTGATGTAGACATTGGTGCAAATCCCTCTGCTGAAGGTGGTGGTGAGGATGAAGGTGTTGATGATCATGCCGTCAAGGTTGTTGACATTGTCGACACATTTAGACTTCAGGTATGTGGTGCTCACTGTACTGTTGCTCTCCAAGGTTCTTTGCGAGTAGAAGTTGATAGTTATTGTCTGATGCTTAAAAGAGCAACCTCCATATTACAAGAAGCAGTTTTTCACATGGGTGAAGAGGTACATCAAACTGTTGACACCCAAGTTGGATGGGAAGAGCCAAGAGGTATATAAGAACATAGAGGCAGCAACCAAGTTTCTGCTTGGGAAGCTCAGCGACCTCCAATTGTAAGTTTTGTTGATTCCGTCCTGTATTTGTAATCCTATGTTGCAAAAGTATTGCATCAGTTGAACTATAATCTGTTACTTGAAAGATAGAAGTATTGAACCGGATGCTCTTTTGCAGCTTTGTTGGGGAAAGCATGCATGATGATGGTGGTTTGGTCTTTGCCTACTACAGGGAGGGTGCGACCGACCCAACATTGATCTACTTTGCTCATGGTTTGAAGGAGATCAAGTGCTGAGCAATTGGCATAGTAAGCTCCAAGCTTGTTGTAATCCTAGTCTCTATTATGCTTTTTTTTTTTTTATGTTTAAAATTGGGGGATGAGAGTATTTTTGCTTGGTTTCGTTAGAATATTGCGTGTTTGTTGACTTGGGTTTATGCCTTCTATCTTGGTTTTAATGGTATTTCGACTTTGATCTCTAATTTGTTTGGTCCTAAATTTTGGTTGAGAAATAATATTGTGTTTGAAATCAATTACTTTCGTTTGTCTGCAAACAGTTGTGAAAATAGTTGGAATTGGTAATAGAAGGATGTTTCATAACCCTACCAGGCATTCAGTTTGTACAGAGCCTTGTTTTTCCTTGTTTACAAAAATGCCATCTGACTTTTGGATTGAGAAACTCTAGCACTACGGTTGAGTCGTATTTATCTCTATTACAAAAATGCCATCTGACTCTCGTGGACGATGATTGATGTGTCGAGTACCTAATCATTTTGTGGCTTTAGCCAAAATTCCAAGTTTGTTTAGTGGTATTCATCTTTATTGTGTGACCTTAGCTAAAATTCTCGCACAAGTGAATAAAAATATCTATTCTTCCACCAAAAACACATTTAATTAACAAAAATTTCACATTCATGCATAATAAAGAAACCAAAATTTATGTAATTAAAGTTCAAGAATTTCATGTAGAATCCAAGTCCATTTCCATACCTTCTTTAGCCCATTTGTTAGCAAAATCTGACATATTTTTCAACAAAACAAACAACCCAGCACATGATACATGTACATACACAACAGGAGGAGTAAAGAAAAAATAATTGAAAAATCCATGATGACCTGGCATGGAGGCTGGAGGAATAACAAATATCAACACAAATCTAAATAATCTCCGTCGAAAATTGAGAAAAAAAAGATGACTGAAAAAAGCCACGAGGATCAGATTATGCGGCGGTGAATCGCGGCGACGGACTGGGGAGGTGGATTGTGGCGAGTGACGGCGTGAGTCAAATTGTTAAGTCTACAATTAACTATGACATGACGCCCATGTGGACAATGACTGGGTGCTACGTGTCATCCACGTGGAAATTAAAAATAAATTATATATAAAATAAATAATTAATTAATTAATTATATATATATATTAAAAAAAAAACCTTCATCTTCCCCAGATTCGGAGGAAGAAGAAGAAGGAGAAGGAAGAAGAAGGAAGAAGGAAAAGAAGGGGAAGGAAGATGGAGAAGAAGGAAGAAGAAGAAAAAAAAAAACTGAATCTGCAACCCAGATTCGGAAGAAGAAGAAGAAGAAGGAGGAAGAAGACGGAAGAAGAAAAAAAAAACCAAATCTGCAACTCAGATTCGGAGGAAGAAGAAGAAGAAAAAAAAAATTAAAAAATGAACCCATTTCGTCCCCCTCTCCCCCCCCCCCCCAAAAAAAACCCAACCCCTGCAACCCAGAAGAAGAATGAGAAAGAAGAATAAGAAGAAGACAAAAAAAACAAAAAAACTACAAAACGTGGATGACATATGGTGCCCAGTCATTGTCCACATGAGCGCCACGTTACAATTAATGTCAGATTTAACAGTTTAACTAACGGATGTATGAGACTATCTCAAAATTTACACTTTAGATATGAGTCAGGGACGAAAAAAACTTGATGTACTAAATGTTGAAAACCACGAAACATGATAATAGTAAACAGTTTTTTACCTTTTATTGAAATTAAACTCTCAATTACCAGGTGTTAACGTGTTTGTGGGGAAACTCAAAATGACATGTGTTCATGAGGTAAATTCAAAATGACCTGTTAGTTAATGGTAATTAACAAGTTCATCCGTTAACAACTTGACCCGTTAAGCATTCCACCAAATATTAACTGTAATTAGTGGGTTGGGTTGGGTAACAGGTTCGGTCTAAACTGCCGCCCCTACCCGGCACAGAGGCGCCAAGGAAAGAGGCATGGAGGAAGGAAGGAGAGGAGACGCCGCTGCTGTGTATGTGAGAAGAGTGAGGTTTGGCGTCTGGTATCGGGAGAGGGAGAGGAAATAAGAATTTCGTCGGTTTGGGCATGAAAAATAATTTTCACGTTATGTTGCAAAAATTCATCCGCAATGTGAGATATAGCGCAATATTATGCAACATAATCCAACAATAGATGGTTACAAAACAAACTGCAATTCGTCATTCAATTACCCTAAAAATTGAAGTCCAAATAATATGGCCTATCAGTATCACTATTCTTAGAGCCGAATAGCTTTTCTTATTTATATGTAATGCTGAAAGAAATGGCTTAATGCTTGGCGGGTTTCTTCACAATCATCACGGAGCACTTTGCGTGATGGGCACAATAGTCGCTTACACTTCCCAGAACCGCCCTGCAAATATGTATTTGAACTGTGTCACGGATTAATTATCTAACACATTGTTTATACGAGACAAGTGTTAAGATTAATCGTCCATATGCACGTGAGTTAGTTACGATCATTTGAATTTCGTGAACTCGATTTATACGATTTGATCATAACATTTCCACTTATACAAAACATGAGAACTGAGAAATGGAGAAACGGACCTCTTTACGATTCCATAACCATGACTGCCAAGAACCAAAAGGGAGGCATGATGTTTATCCACAGCGTCGCACATAACATTTCTTGGATCACCTTCCATTACCTCCACTTCCACATTTTCCACCTGCATGCTCACTAATTAACCTCATCGACTCGATAAATCGTATTAATTAGTTGATCATATCATATGACAGTCGATGTATCAATTATAGCTTTTAGTCAAGTGATACTTATGAACGGTATTTACTATTTGCAACGCTTCAATTACCTTTTTACTGGTGCAAAAGTCCTTGGCCTTCTGCACAGTCTTACTAGATATTTTCTTCATATCCGACTCCAAGGAAGTTATAAACTCCCCAGACCCTGCATTTCAATCAGAAAATTAGAAAAATTCTCACAAACTAATGAATCAGAATAAAGTGATTAATAAATTTAGATTAGTCTAATAGATTACCGAATCCGGCGACGCCGAGTGCAGATGAGGGAGAAGCCCTAGCATGAACAATGACGAGCTTGAAAGGATGGTTGGTGCCCTGAGCAAATAAATGATCCAAAGTCCACTCCAACGCGTAAAAGCTATGATCGCTGTCGTCCACTGCGACTAGCATCAACGGCTTCTTGTTAACACCTTCCGCCATAAATTCAGTTTTGCTAATTAATCACCAACAACAACAACAAGAAGACGACGGCGACGAAGAAGAAGATTAAGTAATTGATGTGAGTTTGGAAGGTGGTGTTTGAGGTTAATTTATTGGGAGTGTGTGCTTGTGGTGGTAAGGGATGCAGTGGATGGTAGCTTGGTGGTGCGTAAGCCTGGTCGTATGCACCGCAGTCAAGTGCTGATACTGTAATACATGCCTACATTTTTGGCAACTGCTTGGATGTCGTTCGTTGCGCCCCATTAGGCTCGGATCTATGACTGTCCGGCTTTTGAGATGGTTTGAGGTCCAACTGAGTGGCTGTCTTGGCCCAAGTGTAGACGTTGGTTATCTTTTGCCCAACTCCACTCACATTCACACCGACTAAACCGATCCGAAAATTCAAACGAGAGTTTTATAACTCAAGTGGTTAAGAACACTTATCATTATAGCTGAGATCTTAAGTTCAACTATCTAAAAGTGTTTTTGTGCTCAGCTTTATGTGTACGTAGCACCTCAAAACTTCGAATCAAAAGTGTTAGCAGAGGTCGATTTTTGAAATTTTAGAACATAATTAAGTATTTATGATCTTTCAACCGCATTTTATATGTGGAAGTCAAGGTTACAAAATATAAAGTATTTATGATCTTTCAACTGCATTTTAGATACTCAATGAAACCTGCAACATATCAATCCCATGAAGGAGGAAGTTCAAACTCTTGGACACGTGGATTCTGTTTGTGTAAAAATGAACTTGGAAGTGAAACAGAGAAATGCTAAGCATACTCTCTTAAAGTGAGATTTTTCATGGACTTTTTCCACTTCACAGTTTTAACGTTAATTCTCGTGCCAAAATAATTGAACATTGTGCAAAAAATATGATGTGGTAGAGAGTCCATGGAGAATTTCACTTTTGAGAGAATCTCTTTAGCATTTCTCAATGAAAAATTGTTGTCTTTTTAATGTTTGGGAAATGATTTTCTAACCTACGGGAAAATAGAGAAAAAGTGAAACCCTCTGTCCACTTGGTTTCATTTTGGCAAACTAAGAGACAGGGCCGACCTTGAGGGTGTGCAAGTGGTGCCACCGCACAAGGCCCCCAAAATGGAAGAGGCCCTTGATTTTTCAATTTTGCATGCATATGCGTATATATAGCTGTATGAGTAGAATATTACAAACTTGAGTCTTAGCGCAAGTGTTATTATTGATTCTTTACATCAGCCTAGGGGATGGGTTTGAAACTCATCTTCATCATTTTTTCAGTTTATTTTTATTAAATGCATATGCTTCCAAAAAATAATATAAAAATTTCACACAATAACATAAAAATTCGAACCCTGACCCTCTAAATAGTTAAGAAAAAATAATACGCCACGTTTCCACTTGTTGATTTGTTAAATTTGTTTGTGCTATTAGAATTTATAGAAGCTCAATTGAAAACTAAAATTATATTTTTGAACGAAAAAATAAATTCTTAGTTCTTTTTAGGCCTCCAATTCACTTTCGCACAAGGCCCCTGAAATCTTAGGGCAGGCTCTATAAGAGACCGTCTACGTTTTACATAACATTTTTTAAAAATTATTTTGTAAAATGAAAATGACAAATAGGATTTAATTTTTTTATAATTTGAGGATGTATTTGGTAGTTTAATTCGAGAATGATTTTTGAGAATGTTAACACTACAAACGCATCTGATACCAAATGTAAAAAATATATAAGTGAATTTATGTTTGATAGTAATGGTAGTGGTAGGGATGGTGGTTATGATGAGAGTGGTGTTGGTAGCAATGATAGTTAGAGTAGCGGTAGTAGTGGTGACAATAGAGGGCAAGGGTGGAGGAAGTAGTGTTGTTGGTAATGGCGGCAGGTGGCCACAATGGTGGCAGAGATGGTAAAAGTGGTGGTGGTGGCCATGGTGAGGGTAATGGGGGTGGAGAATCTGATAATGGTGGTGGTGGCCATGATGGCGGTGGTGGTCGTGATGATGGTGGCTGCGTAAGTCATACAGTGAATGTGGTGATGGACATGGTGGTTGGGGTAATGAAGGTGGATAATATGGTGGCGGTGGTGGTGGTGGTGGTGGTGGCAAATGTACAAGTGGTGGTGCACATGATGGTGAGAGTGATGTCGGTGTCAAAAAGGGTGGCAGTGGTTGATGATGGTGAGGGAGTGGAGAATGTTCTGATGGTGGTGGTAACGACAGCAATAGTGTTGGTAATGGTGGAATACATGATTTTATTTTTTTATTAAAACTTTAACTTTGTTTTATAATCTTGAGAATTCATAAATTGAAAGTTTATTATTAATTGCAACAATAGAGCATTTACAACAATAATTTAATAAAGTACATGTATTTCTACATTTATGATAAGAGTTTGATTCTTGTCCCCCCCCTTCATCTAACTTTATGTTTAATCATAATTCATGAATGCACACCCAATTCGTTTGCCCAAAAAATAAGTGTGTTTAAGTTATGATAGCTTGCTTTTTATTCACAACACTTAATTTACCTATAATGTAGTTGAACTATTTATTTATACATAACACCACCTTCCTAGTTTCCAAAAAAAAAACACCTTCCTATTGTCGTATTAGAAAGGGGTCCACCGGAGCCAATATTATGAAATTTGACCACCAAAAGAAAAGATGGTGGGAGAGCTAATTGGGTGTGGAAATTAATTAATATTTGATTAAACTTTAATTCAAATTAAAAACTCCACTGGATCTCAACCTAATCACATGCTTTAAATTAAAGCAAGCTTTTTTGTCAAAAGAGAAGTGTACCACAAGGGTGATGGGTTGGGGAACCGATTTGAAAGTTTGGGGTTCTTCAAGTTGGAGGTCCACCAGCATATGACTGTAGATCCAATTTACCACAAAACTTAAATTAATTAATTAATTAATTAATAGATTAGATTATTAGATATTAAATCATTTCTATGATAATTAAGTGTGTGTATATATATATATATAGAGCCAAAAGTATGTTTCATGATATTTATACGGGTAATGTTAAGGAAACTAAATTCGGTAACTAAATTTTGTAAAGTAAATGACATAGAAGTTGATGATTGAATTATTACTTAAGCGTTGATAAACATGCTCTATTTCTATTGGTGACATATTATTTAGTTTACAAATTTAGTCTACCTAACATTATCATTTTTTTATTATATATTAATCTTATTGTGTTCCACATCACCTTGTATGTCCTTATTCTGATTGAGAATTGGTAATTAAAATGTTTAAGAAATCAAAGTAGGATTGATACTGATTCTTTGACTACTAAAAAATTTGCTTTCAAATTCTTCTTTCTCCCAAAATTGGAATCCACACCCGACTTCTAAAATTGATATCACAACTGCACAATTACAAAAAAAAATTGAAATACAATATAATTTCTTAACCCTAGAGGATTAAAAAAAAAAAAAACACTCACAAGGACTAAACTTTGTAAGTTGGAGAACTGACGTAAATGCACCACAAGAAAAATATCATAACACCATCTAATGCATCGCTGTTAAATAAGCCATATACGAGTCACTTCAAACAATTGTCGAACTTCTTCTTCATAATTTTCTGCCAAGTGCACAAACCACAACCGCTACGAAAAAAAACCAACCTCAACAAAGTCAGAGTGCATCTTACAACCATAATCACAGAAAGCTTTCCTTAAGTAGAGTGAGAAAACGACTATACCATGAATGCTTTTCCTTAATAGAGTGAGAAAACGATCCCTACTAAATACAAGAAAGAGAAAAGAAGAGATGGTGGATGCTTAGATTCGCGTGGAAAAGTGACTCACTAATTTTATGTTGAATTCATATTCGGATAGAACACACAAAGTTAGAAAAGCAAGGTCTTTTCGTAATTATATTTAATTTTTATCTCAAAAAAGTCCACCAAGAAAAGTACAGCGTTCGGTTTTATGTATAATATTTGCTGTCATCATCCTCTTTATCACTACGTGTATGAATGATTGTAGAAACCCATAATTAATCATGCAAGTTACGTGTCACCACCAAATGGCTAAAGCTTCCCTTCGGGGGTAATTACGGACAATAAAAAAGATATGTTATTCATACATTTGTTTTTACTTTTCACGTCTATTTTTAATTTTTAATAGTCTGATCGAATGAATTGAAGAAAATCAAACGACAGAAATTAATAAAGAGTAGGTGAGAACCCTAAAAATGTGTAATTGTCTAATAAGGTAAAGCAACGTCTCAAGTTTTAATTTTTAGACCTTAGTGTTTGACCTTTTAGCCTAATCGTCTTGGCTCCATTGTACATTTGTAAAATTCCATTATCTTAATGTTAATTACCCTTCATGCACGCGCTTATTTTTAAAATCACGACGTGCTACGTGCTATTTACACATTTTAAATGTATTTATATGCGTGAATTGTTTTAACATTTTTTTATGACAAAAAGAAAGTCAACTATTTGGACTAAATGAATAATTAGACCATGCTAGAAGAAACTCCTCATAATCCAATCAAAACAGTTGAATTCACATAATAAAATCAATCTTTCAATTTTCATCTACGTTATATTGAATTTACATTAAAAATAGAGAAAATAATGTTTAACAAATAACTGATTGAATCACATTATTGCTAGCCCATTGTGAGACTCAGCCCACCCACTCTCATTTAGTATAGATAACATCGTTTGTTCAAAAAAAAAAAACGATCATTTGACAACTAATTGAATCACATTATTATGAGCGTGCAAAAGACCTTTTTTTTATTTATTTTTATAACCGACACTACGCGTCTCATAAGTGTTTAAAAATAAAGAAAATAATATTTAATGAACAACTGATTGAATCACATTATTGTGCATGTGCGAAATACCTTTTTTATTGCCGGTGGTACATGTCTCTTAAGATGTTTTGAACGTGTTTAAAAATAGAGAAAATAATATTTAATAAACAACTTATTGAATAATATTATTGCTAGCTCATTATGAAGCTAAGCTCACCCCCTCCCCCTTAGCGTTAAAAAAAACAATCATTTGACAACTAATTGAATCATATTATTATGCGTGTGCGAAAATCCTTTTTTATAATTGTCACTGCGAACCCCTTAAAATGTTTTGAACGGCTTTAAAAATAGAGAAAATAATATTTAATAAATAATTGATTCAATCACATTATTGCTAACCCATTGTGATTTACTAATTATTAAAAATAAGAATAAAAAAATGTGCAAATAAAATTAATTATTA